AATTCGTCATTAGATCATCACAAACATCACCAAACCTTTCAAGAACCAGTTTCTTGTACTTAAGCCAAGGCAAATTAGAACAATTAGTAGTTTTATCAATAGCCGTGTACCACTGTAAAGCCCGACCCTCCATATGAACAACAACAAGTTTAACGCGAAAGTCATTAGGTGTATCCCTAACTTTTACATAGGACGTATCCTATCAGCCACTAGTTCACATTCTCACCATTAAACCTGGGAAAATCAATCCTAGCAAGCCTAGTTCCACAAGAATAAGAAGGCCCGCGATTGTGTCCCTGAATACCTGATGATCCTGATATATTTCCCACATTACCCATCAATTCTTGCAACGTTTCTTTCATAGAATCAATCAAAGTTTGTTGTATCGAACCCACAAGTTCCACCAAACGATCATCCAACTTCGCTGACAACCGTTCTTCCAACTCTCTCATGGCTACCGCATGACGAGTTGAGTCTGCCATGGAAGATTAGTCCAAATGAATCGTCCCGGCTAATACCAATTGTTACAATATTTCTTAGTTCTAGGAATTCGGATATAATTCGAAGAACAGAGATGAAACAGGGAACCTTATAAGAGAAAAGGTTCCGAAGAGTTTATTGTGTATTTGAGAGTTTACAAGAAAGGAGATCTAGATACAACAAAAAGTGTCTATCTAATTGTTTACTAACTCTTTATATCTAACTCTCAAAATTGAATCTAACAATTTCCTTAAAAATGGGACACACGAAACTAACTCATATCCAACAACTAGCAATATTATTCCTCAGCCTTATTTCATATCACTCATCAAGTTTAGTTGATGATTATGACATTGTGTTAGGTTAAAAGATAATCTTTGATTCTCTTTAATCTTAAGTTTTTTTGCTAATAAACAAAGAGAATATTATTGATCAATAGAATAAAGTTTTTTAAAATGATTAAGATAAATCTTCTACTAGAATGCAACTCTTTAATAAGACGAATCCTAGTATAAGATGAAAGCTACATTAAGATGATTGTTATCTCGCTTAGCAAGTGTATCAAATCGTATAAGTAGTTCAATGAAAGTATTAGTATCGTCTCCAAAGGGACTTACGCAACACTTTACAAATTCACTTGTTATACTAACTAAGCTACCAAAAAATAATAAGAAATTGATTTGTTGCAGTAAATAATGTAAGCAAACAATAAGAATTCTTTTTGGTATTTTGGTGAACACTTAGGGTGCAAACTTGATTCTAAAGAAATATTAATAAATATTGGGGTTTGACTTCACTAAACCTTCCTCTCATGTTTATCACTAAGCTCACAATAGTTATCATTCAGAATTTATCAATCACTCTCAAAAATAACCAACCCTAATCTCTTACAAGTTGGCATCTAAGTTGCTAACTTAAACTATTAATTTCTTGCATAATTTAACCAAGAAACCAACTTTAAAAACCAGAGCTTAAGAAAGACTAATGGTATTTACTCTATCTCTAGCAATAAGCACCATCAGCTGCTCTATTTCATTTCAAAGGTTTAAAATCATTTCTCAATCTCTTAAAAACCTCAAGTTCAAGTTAAGGGTGATCAAGCCATAACAAGTATTATGCATAGAAACAAAGCAATAAAATTGAATAACAATTAACATTGATGACTTAGAGTTTACACATGAGAATGGGTTTGGTTACATCAAACCCTAACAAGGGTGAGATTAGCTACACATAGACATATAGAAATCTACAAAATGATGAAGAAGGGAAGAAGCTTGATCTTGAAAGTTCCAGAACTTTCCAGCCGCCACACAAACTCCAAGAATGATTCTCCTTGCTTCTCTCCTCGAAATATCCTCTTTTAGGTCATAAAAGCTTTTGTCTTATGTGAATAATGACATGTCAGCACAATCTATGCTGAGCGTGAGATGCCACGCTAAGCTTGAGGATAGGTATGGAAAGAAATGAGTTTATGGGACTCTCACGCTCAGCACCAATTCCACGCTCAGCTTGAAGATTAAATTTTTGTTCCAGTGATTCTCTGTCAAGCTGAGGCTAAGCGTGGATTTAAGGCTTAGCCTGGAGACATAAGCAAATATTTCTTCTACTTTGAGTTCATCACTTTGTCCTTGGCTTCCTTCCTCCTTTCCTAACTTTCTCCCAAACTACAAAACAACAGCCAAATACTTGTGAGTTACCTAAAAACATGATTCAAAGAAAAAATGTGATCACCTAACAATTTAGATATGTTTTGAGTTAAAAACAAGGTCTAGAGCAAGGAAAATTGATATAAGTGCTTCAAATTAGGCCAAAAACTTAATGAAATCATAACACTTATCAATGATTCTATTCTTGAATAAGATGAATCTTAAGTCATAAGAAAATATATGCATTAAATCTTTATCATTAATGATCTTTAAACAAGAAATTGATAGCGTCTAAATGTTTTCTTAACAAATCAAATTTAAAAATACTTCCTTCATACCAACACTTTACAAAATGGAAAAAAAAATGTCAGAATAGGACACGTAGATCCTTGCAAACACAAAGGCAATTGTTTAAGCTATTTTAGTATTGCACCAACCTAACACACACATGGTTCTACCTATTCAATGCTAAAAGGTGATAAGTAACTTTTTCAATCAGATAAGAAGTGATAATTTGGTGAAAAAACTTAATGCAAGCATTTATTAGACCAACAAACACTTTTCTCCTTAAGAAGCAAATTGTGAAGACAGATGAAACAAGCCATGAGAGATAAGCTCAAGGATTTATAAAGATCATCTTAACTGAAGCCTTATAAAATAAAGTTTGAAGTTCAGAAAGAAAGAAACGACAATCTAGAACAAAATATTATTTCTTCACTCTTTTTGTAATCATCTTTGTACTTAACTTGTTGTATCAAGTCTTGAAATTAGGAGGACAAAACAACTTTGTAAACATTTGTAACTTTAAGTTATTGGGTTTGAGCCCGAAAAGACTTGTCTATAAAAGAATATTCAGTGTTGAAACTTGGAGAGACTTTGTAGAAAAAGAATACTTGGATAGTTATTTGAAAAGATAATTCAAAGAATATTTAAGGTTGAGTTAGAAGTGACTTGGTAAAAAAATATTTGTATCTTTGATAAAATATCAGAATTCAATCTGGTTGAATCAAGAATTTGACATATTCTCAATAATTGAGATGAACTAGTATAAATCTTTGAGTTTGTTCTTTGCTTCGTCTGTCTTCTCATAATGTTACATTACTACTTTATTATTATGCAAAAAGTAAGAGTTTTTTAGTAATACTATTTAACCCTCATTTTAGTGTTTCTTTTCTTCACACATTCACAATGTAAAGAGTACACAAGTTTTATGAGATGTGTCAATTTTATTGTAGGGTTATAGAACCCTCACTACTTCGAGACTAACCATTTCCATGAAGACAATTGTAGGTGAAAGAATTCTAATCTTCACAAATCGTGAATCTGAACAAGTTAAGGGTTCATATAACTTTATAGGTGTCATTCATATTGCAATATTGATGTCATAGACAATTCTTACGCACTAAAGATCAAAACTGAAAGATGTCTATAGAGGCATGGTTGCAACACTCTGTTAAGTACTTTGTTTCTAATGTTTAAAGCTATTGGATTTAGTAAAAGGCTGAAGTTGCTCATATAAGCATAAAGTCATGCTTGCACTCACAACATATTTTTTCATTATTATGAATTTTCTAACCTGCTGAGCCTTCACTTTGGTATATACATATTGTTTGTTTAAACCTTCAACACTTATTTGATGTTGAAGGATATACTTTCAATTCCTCTGTGCAAATTAATTGTATTGTAGCGGAGGTGTGAGAATAGTTGTTGGTTGAGATGGATAAATTACAAGAGGCATGATTTGAAGAGTTGGAGGAGCATTCACACAACAATTAGAGAATATGAATTGAACTCTATGTGAACTACATTCAAGTTCTTAGAGAGGGAAATCGGAGAGACCTTCGTATAAGAGTTGATACACAATGCATTAATTGGAAGAACAAGTTTGATTATCGTTTCGTTTGATTTTTTCTTCTTATGATTTTTCATTTTATTTTGTTTATTTTGTATATGCTTGAAACAATATGATGAAAGTTTCAAATGTTTTTCTTTTAATTTTGTAATTTGACTTTCTACATTATTGTGTATCTTTAAGAAGTTTAGGAAATCAAGAAAGAGAATCCTTATATCTATAGAATAGATATCGAATTTTGAAACAAATATACATGACAATGATCGAATTTGACGTAAGGATTGAGGAAAATATACTAAAATGATATTCATAGAAATATTAGAAAATGATATTAAAAAAATATACAAGGATATTCCTTTTAAATAAAGCACGAATGATCTTGAAATTTTAAAATATTTTGTATTATCTATTTTTTGGACGAATAATATTTTTTCTTCTTGTTGGCTTTAACTTATTGAACACTAAAGCAATTACATATTAATATTGCGTGTTGATAACTTATTTATTTTAAAAAATACCTAAATAAAATATTTTGTAATATTTTATATATATATA